TGAATCTTTGATTTGACGAATTGGACGTTTGAATTGCCGAGTTGAATGTTTGAAGTGACGAATTGAATGTTTGAAGTGACGAATTGAATGTTTGAAGTGACGAATTGAATGTTTGAACAACGAGTTTGAATTTTGGCGGGGATGGATACCCATATACCAGGACAAGGTAGTGCCAGCCCTTCCGTTTGCAGCGGTCTTCGTTCCTTCCGTTTAGAAAAAGGGTCAGTTTTAAGGAAACGAGTAACGGTGTCAATAAGTGTATACGACAATGAAAGGTGACAGTAATCCTTTAGTTCCATAACATGGGAAACAAAGAAAAATTAACTGAACACAACTCTATTGTTGAAGCAAACTCTTCTTCCGAAGCGTGAAACTCTTCCGAGGAGAAAATTAGCCTTTCGTCCTAAAGATAGAACGTTGCCATTATCACATGCAGTCTCGTCGTCCGGAAATGACTTATCCGATGCTTAATCACTACTTGGGGAATCATAATCTCACATCTTGCTATTCGTGCTGTTGCCCGCTGTTTTCTTGCAGCTCTTCGAAGTCGGAGCGTTGGAAGCTGACCGGTTCACCTGGCTGAATTTCTCTCTAACAGAGGTAAATTGGTCGGTCACCAAGAAATCAAAGGCTACTATTTCAGAACAGGGCAAGGCTCAGAACGTTCAGATATCACTTAGGGGTTGCAATGACAACAACAGCGTAGGAAAAATGTCATGTGCAAAACACGTGCGCAGGTAAGACTGTCATAACAAACTTTTGTGCTGCTTTCGTTAGACTCCCACGCAAGCATTTTTAGGGGATAGCGTTTCACTTTCGCGTTTGTGGTGCTCGCAGAGCCAGCCCATCTACTAGTTAGTGACAATTACACTTTTGTAGGAATGATTTAAAAATTTTCCTTTCTGGAGAGAAGCTCACGAAAGTAAAATAACCGAACACTATTGTTTCGGTAACCACTGCAAAACTCCCATAAATGGCTCGAAAGAGTAAAAACTCTCGATTTAACATACCTTGCTTAAAACTTTTTCAATAATTCCTCTCTCGTGTTTTCAAGGAAACTGGGTTGCAGTAGGAGAGAAGCTACCCAGTTCTGGATATATTCAAAAGATTTTACCGGAAGTGGGGTATGGGGCAACAAGTCAGGTGGTAAATATAAAACATGCACTGATATTTTATCGATATAAGTGAAGAAAAGAAATTATGGCGATCCAAGGAGAAAACAAAACAAACGGCAGATGGCGGAAAATCTCAGGACATGTAAGTAATTCAAACAGCTGTAAGACGAGAAGGCTACCGGTAAATTTCTGGTTGACATTTTGAGGATCCCACGGGCAATTTGCGAAATGTTTGAAACTCGCATCAAATGAAACAAGCTATTGAAGAAGTTCTATTTTCGAATTCCTGATTATGTTTTCCTGTTTCTGCTAAAATGTTTGAATTAAACATTTGCAGCTCGGGCAGACTAGAAATTTGCGCCTAAAACTAGTTCTTGTGATTTCTGTACAAACAAACGATCATTTCGAAAACAAAG